ACAAAACGAGGAATTCGTACATATTCCAAGGTGGCCGGGAACGAACATAGCCCAAGAAACGGCTACGTATCCCATCGGTAATTTGTACCCGTACATTCCTCCTGTTCCAGAGTTTGGTCAACCGTCATCGGAGAATTCGTCTAAAGATTTGAATCAAGGAGACACTGCGCATTATTTAAACGGAATTCCATTTAAACTGTGCAAACAGTTGGAATATAATATGAACAATGATTCGGAGATAGATAAGCTTAGAATTAGTGAGATTTTATCCTTCATAGAGAAAATAGAGGGAAAAAGTTACGATTATAGCTTTTCCTTAGAAAAAGATATCGTGGCAGAAATGAACAGTAAGACCGACGACTGACATAATTTCGTCATATCCAAATATATACTATCGAGAATATATACTAACACAAAACTTTCGATACGTTGGCTGACAGTTGGAAACACTCGTTCTTTAGTGTTAGCGTTTAACAAAATTGCGGTCGTCACGGATAATCATCTTTACTTAACGACTGTGCTAGGATATTTGACAAATAATTGCATGCACGCTCAGCGATGTACGAGCACAAATTTATTTATTAAAGAACGCGTGACTTTATGCGTTTACGATGTAACATAACACTTGTCGATAGGTTTAAGTATATTTTATGTTATATATCACGACCTTGTCTATATCTGTAACGTACGTGTAATTTTAAAGCATCCATGTGTGTTTTGAATAAACGTTGAATTCGCAAATGAGACCGAGATTCATTCATCGAGATAAGGCTCTCGACCGAATTGGCAACACGTTACACTCGTCAAACATAATCCGAAGAAGGACAATGGCAAGACGTACAAGACGTGCACCGTCCAAGTTGCAGAGATCCAACGACTCTGGTTTATGGAAGAAACAGGCAGAACAGAGTCACGATAGCGACGAGAAGACAGAATGGCATCCAAGTTTTAAGGAAACCTAGAAAACTAAGGAAAAGAAATGCTGCGTGCGTATACGTGTTCAATGATGCTGATGAAGAACACAGGTGTAGGTCTGAAAGGCCGCGGTAGTCGGT